TGCGATAGCCCAAATCGTTCTTGCACGTTCTTTCTCAAGTCTTGTCCCTTCGAAAGCTACACACCTCGACTCAGTAGCTACTCACGCTCGAATACCTTTCGAAACTTCCCTTGACGCCTCACACCCGTTCAGCTCCGCATACAACGTCAGCTTTGCTCGCCGACGAGAACGGTCATCATGAAATTTTCATCTTCCGCCTTCATCGCGGCCTCTCTCGCCGTGGCTACCACGTCTACCGTCGCCAGTCTGGCTGAGCCCGCCAGTCATCTCTTCGGTCGCGATGGCGCTCAACCAGGCATCCACAAGGACATGCTCGCGCGTATGGTTCAAGCTCGAAGCGGCAGCCACGACTTGACGCACAAGCACGATAAGCGTGGCGGATGTATTCTCGGCACTGACCACCTTCGACCTCGGGACGTGGATGAGGCGACCCTCAAGAAGCGTCAGGCCACCTTGCCTGCTGTATCTGGCAATGGCCAAAAGTACCCCACTCCCGGAGAGGTCCCACCTCCTAGCTCTCTGCCTCAAGCGTGGGTCGATGCGTACAACAAGGCTAAGAAGGCTGGTCAGATCCCCGACATCCCTGCATCCAAGGAAACTCCTGACGGTCTGATCGCTTACCCCAAGGGCACCGACATGAAAGCTGTTTGCTCCTGGACGCTCTCCAAGTGCAACGACGGTGACATCTGGCAAGCACCTCAGGGCACCCTCGCTTTCGGCTTTGATGATGGACCTACGCCCAACGGTACACCACCGCTCATCGACCTCATCAAGAAGGAAAACATCGCAACCACGCACTTTCTCATTGGTTCCGCCATCGCATGGGCTCCCGACGTCATGTCTCAATTGGCTGCTGTTGACAGCGCCCATCTCGGCATCCATACTTGGAGTCACACCTTGCAGTCGACGAAGAGCGACCTCGAAATTCTTGGTGATCTCGGATGGACTCAACAGATCATCTACGACCTGACTGGCAAAGTGCCTGCCTACTTCCGTCCTCCCGAGGGAGACGCTGATGCTCGTGTCCGTGCGATCGCCCGCGTGCTCGGCATGCAGACCGTACTGTGGACGAAGGACGCTGATGACTGGTGCTTGCGCCAAGGACATGGTACCGCGACCTCGATTCAGTCCTGCGTGCAGAGTGCTCCTGACCTCGAGACGGTCACCAAGGAACAAGTCAGCTGGGTCTCTGGCAGCAAGAACGACGGTGTAATCACCCTGGAGCACGAGACGACCGACCAGGCCATCAAGGCTGCCGGCTCCCTCGTCAACGCCGCTCAGAAGAACAAGCAATACAAGATCGTCGGTGCCATCCCAGACCTGTGGGGCCTGCCTTGGTACAGCAACCAATTCGCTCAGGGTGACAAGCCCACCAAGCCAAAGGACATTTTGCCCACTCACTCCTTCGTCAACGTCACTGACGGCGGAGCTGGATCTGCCCAGTACGATCTCGGTGACTGGAAGAGCGCCACAAGCACCGGCACTGCCAAAGCTGGCGCGACTTCTAGCGCTAGCAAGGGCAACAGCAACTCTGCGACCACCAGTGGAAGCTCGTCCGGCGCATCAGCCACCGCTACCGCGTCTTTCACCGTGCTCCTCGGTGCTGCTGCCCTGGCAGCTAGTTTGGCGCTCTGAGCCATTCCTAACACCACTCTCACCGCACTAGCGTCACTTGACCGTTGTTGCATTCGCGACGTGTCAAGCTGCACGCGGCAGCCTCTGTACGCTCTCGGACAATTCGCACTTTCACCTCTGGTCTACGGAAAAGGCTGAGCCTAGACCACAACATATCTGCTTGCACCGTCCTTTTTTCATTCCCGCGCACAGTCTCGCGTACTCACCTACATACCTACAAGCGGCCTGGTAATCACCATCAACATCCTCAACATCCTCACCAACCATTCGCGAAAGTCAGCTTGGCGAAGAGTACATGTTCCAGCGTTGTACGTCTTCCATACAAGCTCAATGACATAAGCCCATTATTGTAATCGTTCGATGCGAGCCTACTCGCCCACGTCTGAGCGCACTCGTGACAGTGCCCGAGGTCCAGCTCTTGGGATCTTAATTCAGGTCTCCTTGGGTACCCTGACGCGATCTGTCACCACAGTGCGAATGCAATTAACGATTGGTATGGCGGGGTGCGGGAGGACGATGCGTATGGCACTGTGAAGGTGGTGCTGCCAGCGACTAGTCAGGTCTCTCTGCTCACCACGACAATTCGGCGAGGTCTCAGAAGGGCGTGAGATCTTTCACTGGCTCGGGTGCAGTCCTTGCGCCAGTCGAAGCAAGTCAAGAACTCCGAGTGGCGAAGCGCACTCGACTCACGACTTGCTCGATGTGTGGGCTCAGAGTATCTGTACACAGTGAGTGGCGCGCGCGCGTCACTCATCACGGCTGCTGCATCATTCGTCCCAATCCCGCCACCGAGTCACTCACAACAGAATGCTGGGCGGCAAGTGCTGCACTTGCGCCTGTCAACGACGCAAAAGTCTATCACATTTCGCGTCATGGCAGATGTCACTTGCTACTCTGTCTTTAACTCGTGATTTAGAGTCGGTGCTCCGGCGCGCCCATTCGTGATTGCTCTCTGGGGTCCATCAGCTCAATCGTTGTTGTTGAAGATCAAGGCAAGGTGGAGCAGCAGGAGAGCAATCGCGATTGCTCATGAGGATTGCGGGTCACTGCAGTCAGTCAGAATGAATCTGAATGGTCCCACGATACGAGCCTTCTTTGCTTCCAGGATCCACGCGCAACGAGCGCGGGGCGACTGTGTTGGGTGTGTATCATGGCACTCAAGTGATATATCCATTGACGCCCAAGGATCACGACTTGCCAAGATCACTGTCCACGTTTGTGTAGCGCCTTTTGCCACAGTGACGATCTCAACGAAGCTACCATTGCGACTTTTCCGCGCTTTTGCGTCGTTCATGGATTGTGGCGAGCAGCTGCTGTGTGCGTAAGGCCCCCAGCTCGAGCCAGAGTGGGTTGATGGCAAGTGGCAAAGATGATGACAGATCGAGTCGATCCCATGGGCTCCTCTGGTTGAGCTGTGACCCAACTTGCGACAGATCAGCGATTCGGGAGAGGATCATGAGTTCACGCATACAGAGGAAGATATGGAAGAAGGAGCCGATCATGATTATGACCCGGAGGCCAGAGTGTCGTCTCATCGTGTTCGTCAGCTTCGATGCACCCCATGAACCCTCTTGATCGGGCCTGAACGCCAAGCTCGAGCACACCGCGCCCATTTCTCTGCCTTCCATCGCATCAGCATGAAAGGCGACGCAGCGCCTTCCGCAGGTTCGAAGCGTCGCGCAGCTATCGATAGGCTGGCTCGCTGTGCAGTAGGCGCTGGCGTGCTAATCACGACCTTCTTGATGCTAGCAGACAAGCTTGCGCTGGGTCGAACACGGAAATGGAGCGCCAGCAGATCATCAGGAAACGATTCCCATTTGCAGGAGTCAGGCCTGAGGCAGGCCAGTCGCGAAGAGTCTGCCTTTGACTCTCCAAGTCTCCAGCATGGCAGCTTCAATCGCCTAGAGGCAGTACAGGCGTCGGAAGCAAGGCAGCTGCGCAAGAGAACCATCGGCCAGGTGCTCGTGCGGTGCGCCAAGGCCTCCTATCGAATGTTGCACGCAGCCCAGTGCAGCAGCACAGATACTCGCGTTGTCGAGCCAGAGCCGCAGGTGCGCAACACGGGCGCGATCACGAAATCAGAATGGCGGGCAGCACTGTACGAAGCTAGGAGTCGCAAGAGCGGCATGACGGGAGCAAGAACGGTCGCTCTGATGCAGCTGAAGCGTCCCAATTCTATCGTGAGTCCCATGATGATGAGGATGGCAGCTAGGTCGAGCAACGCCAAAGTGCTGGTGAGCTAAGATTTCAACGTCCTCTGTCCTTTGCGCGTCTTGCAGGCCACGACGCGCGCTCGTGAAAGACGAGTGGAACGATTGCTAGGCATGCCGTCCCCTGCTCGCTTGTCCCGTTTGGGGAGCCAGTCCAAGACCTTCACAGCTCCTCAAACGGGGCATGTCGACCGTGTCAGACCTGTCAAGCCCGCGCCAGGCACATCTCTACCTCCTCCGCTTCACAAAGGACAGTCGTCTACACATGGCCCGCTCGCGCTTTCTTGGCCAAAGGGGCACATCGACGGCACCCCACATATCAAGAAGGAAGTGGACCCCTTAAAAGCTTCGCTAATGGTGGCTGATACTGACCGTGTCGAAGATGCGTTGCTCTTACCCGAGCACAGAGCGCAGGGCTTTAGAGAGGCGCCTGTATTGCGCTGGGGACAATTGCAGATCTACGATTCTCCGCGAATCAAGATGAAAATCCCTTAGAGCTGCCGAAACGATGCTGCCTACCACACATCTGCACAGAGAGGAGGACGAGTGCCGCAACGTGAAGTCAGGGTAAGACTGGATTGCTTGAGTGTGAGTGGGGTATGAGAGGGCGGAAAGCTGAAGCAGTGGGGGTGTGAAGGCGCAAAGTGGTGCGCCTTAGAAGGCGTATGAGAAGGTCTTGGTGAACGTCGAGAGGAATAGATGCTTTCCCTTGATGATGGGTGTCAGCCACTCCCCACTGCAGCAATGTCGACGGATACCTCCAGTCAGCTACAAGTCGCTCGTCGTCTCCATGGCTGTTCTACTCACACAACGAACCCGAACAATTGACTTGCCCCTGCCTTCTGTCCAATCGGCACGGTGAGGACGCTTAGCATCGGCTTGAATGCTTTGGCTGGCTTGGCCCCTTTGAGCACGGCGCCGAGATTCGCAGCGACGACGGGCACGTGGTTTTGAGCGTTCATAAAGGTTCCAGAGCCTTCCGCGCTCACGATATCTCCCACTGCGAAGTATCGGTCTCCGAGAGTCTTTGACTGAACGCGAAGCTGCTGGTCCACCTTGACCCGCCCATTTTGGTCCTTGGCATCCGCAGGCAGTAGCTGTCCGTTCGCTTTGGCGCCCGTGCCGATCAGAATGAAGTCTGTGTCGACAGTCTTCTCGCCGGCTTTGACAGACACCAACTCGGTAAGAAGTTCGCCAGTCTTTACGTCGGAGGGCAGGTCGACCTTGGCATTGAGAATGAGCTCCACGCCGGCTTTCTCGAGCTGCCACTCGAGTTTGTCAGCCAGCGAGCTCTTCCACGCAGGGCTAAGGAGAGCGGGACCTGATGTGGCCAGCGTCACTTTCTTCGATGGATGCTGATCCACAACCTCGCCAGCAAATTCGATGCCGACTGGGCCACCACCAATCACAAGGATGGATTTGGCTTGCTTGATGTCTTCCTGCGTCTTCTTGAGATTTGCCTTGGATGTCGCAACATCCACGGCGACGGGACGGGATGGGTAGGCGTAATTCGAACCGGTGGCGATGATGGCATACTCAAAGGGAATCTCCGTCACGCCAGAGAGGCTTTCGGCAGGCTTGCTGATCGTGACGCTGGTCTTGCCGAGCGATGTCACTTCCGTCGATCCCAATGCAATGTGTCTGGAGTCCTTGGGAAAGAAACCAGCTACGGGTGCGAAGATCTTGTTCTCAAAGTCTGGCAGTGCAGCAGCTCTGAGGCTTCCGACGGGCCAAAATGCAGCCTCGTTCTTCTCTGTGACACAAGGGCAAGGGGGGCAGAATCAAGATTTCAGCTAGGGGCTCGATATATGTGCGCGTTGTTATCCACGAAGCGTTTGGATGTTGGAGGAGGCTCGCTGGACACAACCCAAATCTGACTTCATGTCTCGGCACCGCGTCTGGATGCTCACCGATGAGGACGAGACGATGGGTGGGCGGCAAGGACTTCTCCAATGCTCGCGCGAGGAGAGCGCCTGTGAGGGCACCGATGATGACAATGTTCTTGATTTCTGACATTTTGGAAACGCAAAGGATTTGTAGTGCTGCTGAGGATGCGAAAGTGCCGGCCTTTGACAAGGAAGGCGTAGCTGATCAGACAGTGTGGGCGGATCTTTGAGCGCTACTGTCAAGGAGGCGTGTATGTTGTATGATGGAAGGGAGAAAGGGGGAGACGAAGTTGAAAGGCGGTGCGACTTTATACGCACGACACACCCGGTCAATTTTGAATCAGATTTCCAACCTGCGGGCGCGGGCGCTACATACAAGAGCCACACAGCAACGCTGCTGCTGCTGGAGCTAAGATGATCACCGTAATCGTGAATGTGTCTTGCGCTGCAGGAGGCCTCTACACTCGCGACTCTGCTGAATCACGAGGACTCATCCTCGGACTGTAACGGCCGGATGTGGCGCCATCCTTTCTGATTGCTCGCATATGCCATGGATGACCTGCTTACACGACCAGTCTAGTCGCGATTGCCCCGCTATACCAGTCATGATGAGTAGTCACCAGTGGGAGTGTGTCAATGTGAATGTGTGTCAATTGCTGGATCGCGAATCAAGTTCAGCTCCGCCCTAAAACGGAGTTGGAAGTCGCGAGTCGCGAGTGCATGGCATACGACTGCTCTGGCGAGCCGGGTGCTTAACACCGAGTCAACTACTGCGAATCATCCAGCATCACTGACGACTTTGAAGCCTTCTTGGCACCCTTGATGAAATGGTCCGGTCCGCCGACGCGCGACAGGCGGGTAGTCAGGGAGGCTTGTATCATTTTTTGGATTTTCAAGATTGTGTACACAGATGTTATACCTACATACATATATCATGGGACCACTTTAAAAACGCGCCCAGTCGCGCGCCTGAATCTTGACTCGGCATGAAAAGTGCATGCATGCATGCATGCAT